ATAGAGACAATTTCACTTCCTTCTTTCCTATTTGAATGCCCTTTATTTCTTTTCCTTTCCTGGTTCCTCAGGCTAGAACTTCCAGTACTATATTGAATAGGAGTGGTGGGAGAGGGCATCCTTGTCTAGTGCCAGATTTCAAAGGGAATGCTCCCAGTTTTTGCCCATTTGTTATGATATTATCCGTTGGTTTGTCATAAATAGCTTTTATTATTTTGAGATACATTCTGTCAATACCTAGTTTATTGAGGGTTTTTAGCATAAAGGACTGTTAAATTTTGTCAAAGACCTTCTCTGCATCTATTGAGACAATCATGTGGTTTTTGTCTTTGGTTCTGTTTATGTGGTGAATTACGTTTATAGACTTGTGTTATGTTGAACCAGCCTTGCATCCCTGGGATGAATCCTACTTGATCATGGTGGATTAGCTTTTTGATGTGCTGTTGCAATTGGTTTGCCAGTATTTTATTGAAGATTTTTGCATCTATGTTCATCATAGATATTGGCCTGAAGTTTTCTTTTCTTGCTGAGTGTCTGCCGGGTTTTGGCATCAGGATGATGTTGGTCTCATAAAATGATTTGGGAAGGATTCCCTCTTTTTGGATTATTTGGAAATGAGATACCACCTCATGCCAGTTAGAATGGTGATCATTAAAAAATCTGGAGACAACAGACACTGGAGAGGATGTGGAGAAATAGGAACACTTTTACAGTGTTGGTGGGAATATAAATTAGTTCAACCATTGTGGAAGACAGATTCCTCAAGGACCTAGAAATAGAAATTCCATTTGACCCAGCAATCCCATTATTGTGTATATTTCCAAAGGATTATAAATTTTTCTACTATAAGGACACATGCACATGAATGTTCATTGCAGCACAGTTTACAGTAGCAAAGACCTGGAAGCAACTCAAATGCCCATCGATGATAGACTGGACAGGGAAAATGTGGCAAATATACACCATGGAATATTATGCAGCCATCAAAAATGATGAGTTCGTGTCCTTTGTAGGGACATGGATAAACCTGGAAACCATCATTCTCAGCAAACTGACACAAGAACAGAAAATCAAACACCGCATGTTCTCATTGATAGGCAGGTGTTGAACAATGAGAACACATGGACACAGGGAGGGGAGCATCACACACTGGTGTCTGTTGGGGGGAAATAGAGGAGGGACAGCAGGGGGTGGGGAGTTGGGGAGAGATAGCATGGGGAGAAATGCCAGATATTGGTGATGGTGAGAAAGACAGCAAATCATACTGCCTATGCAACAGTCTTGCATGTTCTTCACATGTACCCCAAAACCTAAAATGCTATTAAAAAAAAATCTATACTACCCAAAGTGATTTACATATTCAGTGCAATCCCTATCAAAATCCCAATGGCATTTCTTACAGAAATAGAAAAAAGAAATTATGAAATCCATAGGGAAATAGTCAGAGTAATCTTGACCAAAAAGAACAAAGCTGGAGTTATCAAAGCTTCTGATTTCAAAGTATATTACAAAGATACCATAATCAAAACAGCATGGCACTGGCACAAAGACAAACATATAGATTGATGGAACAGAATACAGAGCCCAGAAATTAAGCCACATATACACAGTCAATCGGTCTTTGACATGGATTGCAAGAATACACAATGGAAAAAAGATAGTCTTTTCAACAAGTGGTGTTGGAAAAACTGAATATCCACATGCAAAAGAAAGAAATTGTCAGCCTGGGCAACAAAGGGAGATCTCATCTCTACAAAACATTAAAAAATTAGTCAGGCATGGTGCTATGCACCTGTAGTACCAGCTACTAGGGAAGCTGAGGTGGGAGGATCACTTGATCCCAGAAAGTCCATTTGAGCCAAGGAGATTAAGGCTGCAGTGAGGTATGTTTGCACCACTGCACTCTAGACTCCAGTGCAACAGAATGAGACCCTTATTCTACATCATGCACAAAAAAGAATTCAAAATAGACTAAAGACTTAAAACATGATACCTGAAACTGTAAAACTCCTAACAGAAAACATAGGGGAAAAGTTTTATGACATTAGTCTTGGGCAATTTATTTCACAGATATAGTACCAAAAGCAAAAGCAACAAAAACAAAATAAGCAAATGGGACTGTATCAAACTAAAAAGTTTTTCCATAGCAATGGAAAAAACTCAACACAGTGAAAAGGCAACCAAAAGGATGGGAGAAAATATTTGCAAACCATATAACTGATAAAGGATTAATCTAAAAAATATATGAAACTTCTACAATTCAATCGTTAAAAAAAAGAACCAAAACCTAATACGCTAATACACTATTGAAAAACAGGCAGAGGACCTGACCTGTACAGACATTTCTTCAAAGCAGACATATAAGTGGCCAATAGGCATATGAAAGAATGTTCAACAGTATCACTAATCATCAGGGAAATGCAAATCAAAACCACAATGAACTATCACCTTCCACCTGTCAGGATGGCCGCTATCAAAAAGACAAAAGATAACAAGCGTTGGTAAGGATGTGGAGAAAAAGGAACACTTACTTGCACACCATGGGGGAGAGTGCAAAATGGTACAGCTACTATGAAAAACAATGAAATTTCTTCAAAAAGTTAAAAATAGAACTGCCATTTGACTCGGCAATTCCACTTCTGAATATTTCTCTAAAAGAATTGAAATTAGGATCTTGAAGAAATATTAGCGTTCCAATATTCACTGCAGCACCATTCACAACAGCCAAGATGTAGAAACAACCTAAATATCCATCAACAGATTAACAGATAAAGAAAATGATGGTACATACAGACAATGGAATACTATAAGTGACAACATGGATGAACAATGAGGACATCATATTAAGCAGAAAGATAAATATGGCATAATTCTACCTAGTCCAGTTCATAGAATCAAAGAGTGAAATGGTAGTTACCAACGGCTGAAGGAGGGGGAAATTAAGAATTAATAATCATGGTGTATAAAGTTTCAGTCAAGCAAAATGAGTAAGTCTAGAGATCTGCTGTACAGCATTGAAACTTGGTCAACAATAATGTAAACTTCAAAATTTGTTGGCCAGGCACAGTGGCTCACATCTATAATCCCAGCAATTTGTGAGGCCAAGGCAGGTGGATCACCTGAGGTCAAAAGTTCTAGAACAGCCTGGCCAACATAGTGAAACCCATCTCTAGTAAAAATACAAAAATTAGCCGGGCATGGTGGTGTGCACATGTAGTCTCAGCTACTCAGGAAACTGAGGCAAGAGGACTGCTTGAATCCAGGAGGCAGAGGTTGCAGTGAGCCAAGATCGTACCACTGCACTCCAACCTGGGTGATGGAGTAAGACTCCGTCTTAAAAAAAAAATTGTTAAGAGGGTAGATCTCATGCTAAATGTTCTTATCACAATAAATTGTTTTAATGTATATTGATTTTTATCAAATTTTTTAGCATTCTGTTGAGATGATCATATTTTTCTCCCTTAATACATTGATTATATAAATTAAGTAACTAGGTACATTTTTTTAGAGATGGTCTTGCTCTATAGCCCAGGTGGAGTATAGTGGTGCAATCCGAGCTCATTGCAGCTTCTAACTCCCAGGCTCAAGCAATCCTCTCACCTCAGCCTTCTGAGTAGCTGGGACCACAGATGCATGCCACCATGTCCAACTAATCAAAAAAATTTTTTTTCTAGATATAGGGTCTCACTATTTTGCCCAGGCTGATCTCAAACTCCTACGTTCAAAGGATCCTCCTGCCTTGGCCTCCCAAAGTGTTAAGCTTACAGACATGAACCACCACATCCAGCCTAAATAGGTACTTATAACATTAAATTATTCTTATATCCATGGAATAAACCCTGTTTCATCATGGTGATTTGCATTTTAAAAATATAACTGTAGGTTCATTTTGGGAAATGGATTGAAAGAAGCCAAGGTCAAAAGCAGAGAGAACATTTAGGAGGCAATTACAGTTTTGAAAGAAAACAATGACAGTGGAAACAGAGAGGAGGTCTGGATCTAAGAGCTATTTAGGAGGAAAGAACAGTAGGGACTTACTGGGCTGGGTACAATGGCTCATGCCTGTAATCCCAGCATTTTGGGAGGCTGAGGCAAGCAGATCATTTGAGATCAGCCTGACCATGATGGTGAAACTCCATCTCTACTGAAAATACAAAAAAATTAACTGGCATGGTGATGGTTGCCTGTAATTCCAGCTACTGGGAGAGGCTGAGGCAGGAGAATTGCTTGAACCTGGGAGGCAGAGGTTGCAGTGAGCCAAGATCACACCACTTCACCCCAGCCTGGGCAACAGTACAAGACTCCATCTCAAAAAAAAAAAAAAAAAAAGTGACTTATTGAATGTGAGATGTGAAGGAAAGATATGAGTTCAAGAGAACTGCCCAGTTTCTGGCTTTGTGACATTTACCAAGACAGAGTCACAGGAAGAAAAGCAGGTTTGGTGGGGTTTGGGGGGCAGTATAGAGAATGAGTCAATTTTAGCAGTTATATTTGACATCCTGAGTTGTGTAGGGCTGAGGGTCCCACAGGGTCATGAGGTGTCCCTTATGCTGTGCTGAGGCACAGCATCTGAGAAATAAAGAGACAGAACACAGAAGTACAAGGTTAATGCAGCTGGGCTTGAGGGGCCACACCACTTATGAGTAGAGTCCAGTGAGGCCCTGAATGTCCAGAAGCATCAGTAATTTATTGTGTATAGGTTAGGGGGCAGGGCAGTAAGTAAAGGCATCTTTAAGGATAGTGACAGGGTTGTGAGCAATAAAACAAGGGGTCCACCCCCATTAGGTCACCTAGGCTAGGAGGTGGACAGTGTGCAGCAAGGGGTCCATTCCCATTAGGTCATTGAGGCAAGGAAGTGGGCCATGTGTAGTAGGGGGTCCACCCCCATTAGGTCACCAAGGCATGGAGGTAGGCCATGTGCAGCGAAGAGGGTGCAGTGTGCAATACCTCTATCTATGGGCATGCTACTTCTAAGATTATGGGAGGATGCTTGAAGTCACACAGCAGTGACAGAGCTGTCAGGGTTACTGCCACCTGCTGGCAGCTCCCAATGAGTTCTATAGGCAGATGCTTTTTGAGCAGCACAGTAACAAGAGCTGATAAAAAGTTCACAGTCACCAAGGTGCGATTATCCGGAGGGGTTTTGAGCCCTCGGATGCTCGGATGCTCGAGAAATTGCCAGTCTGAGAGCAGCCCTCCACAAGAACTGGAGCAAGGTCCTACAACTCCTTTATCAGGAGGAGTGGCTCTTGCCCCAAGCCTGCCATACAGCGGTATCTTTACGATACTGAACACTGCCCCCTGGGCCATGGATTCTTGTCCTGGTATATCTGTTTTTCCCTTAAATCATGCTCTGCACTGTGTCTGCTGTAGACATTCCTCTGATTATAAGCTGCTCATTCCTTAATTCATGCTCCATACTGTGTCTACTCCAGGCATTCCTACGATTATGAACTAATATATAGTGAGTGATAAGATATTCTTTAGGCACTCATTTTATGAAATAACATATGATTATATATAGAGGATTATATAAAGGGAAATAACTGAGTAGTAACACTATAAACTGAGGTATTCTCCAAGCCCTAATCCTATAAACTAATATATGATTATATAAAGCATTATATAAAAGAAAATAACTGAGTAAACTGAGATATTCTTCAGGCCTTAATTGTGCCAGGATTCTGTTCTGCTTAGCTCTCCTTCCTTGGTACCTATATGGGGGGTTACCCACAAGTTGAACATCCAGGTAGAGACAGGTAAACAGTTATACACATAGATCTGGAACAGAGAGATTTGGGCCTCATATACTGATTTAGCAATGATCAGCGCAGAGAAGACAGCTAAATGCGGAGAGTGAGAATACAAGAAATAAGGCTGAAAATGGAACCACAGAAAATAGCCAGTTTTAAGAGATAGAAAAAGAAAGACGTCCTTAAGAAGATACAGCCAGAGAGATAGGAACATAACCTATTCTGTGAATCAGGAAAACTTTTAAAAGGAGGACAGAGTTTCAGGTAGAGCATGGCCAGCTCTAAGACAAGGACTAGAAAGGGTTCTCTGGATTTGCCAAGACCTCTTTGATGACCTCAGCAAAAGCAATTTCAGTAGAAAGGTGAGGGTGAAGTTGCCTGTCCTGTTTATGGGGCATAACGTCGTGCTCCCTGTCATATCCCTTCAACTGCTTCCTTCTCTCCAAAGACACCACTCGCTTCCTACACCCCGGGGCCTCTGTTGAGTTACCTGAGTTGCTTGAAGTCAGAACTGAAGTCCTTGACTTGTGTGGCCTACACACACTCCCTTCTGCATTAAATTGCTCCTCCACTTTCAGAGAGAATGAAACATTTGCCATACCTACCACAGGGCATAAAATTTTGCTTCCTGAGCTGGTACAAATGGACCAGATTGATGCACCATGGAAGCTGCACAGCAGAAGTGGGAGGGAATTATTTTCTCATGGGGCAACCTTGACAAATGGGAAATAAGAGACAGAAATGAGGCAAACAGATACATTTTTCTCATTGCTCCCTTCCATTTTAAGGTATGATTCCTCCTTGCAGCCATGCCAGAGAACTCCCTTGGCTAAAGGACCCTACCTGCTAAGTCACCTGCTATTTCTCATCGTGGCTTGTTTGAAGCAGGGGCAAGCATTGTAACACATCATCCTGCCTCTGCTGACTTGCCTTTGTCTTCATTTTTCCCTTTCTAAGCTCCCAAAAAGGGGATCAGCACCTGAATCCTGATCCCAGGCTCTGCAATCTAGAGAACCTGGGCTAAGACACAGTTTTCTAGCTAAATTGGTAAATTGAATGGGATATAAGATAGTAGAGAAAGGTAGTGTAGATAATATTTTCAAGAAATTCCCTTCCCAGTGAAGAAAAAGAAAAAAGTGGATTTGGGGGAGGGAGAGGAAACAGGTCCCAAAATTATTTAGAAAGTGCCTGCAAAGCTGATACAGTCTTTGGTTAAAGTTTTGCCAGAAGAAAAATCATTTGGGCAGGCACCATGGCTCACACCTGTAATCCCAGCACTTTGGGAGGCCAAGGCGGGCGGATCACAAAGTCAGAAGTTTTAGACCAGCTTGGCCAATATGGTGAAACCTCGTCTCTACTAAAATTACACACACACAAAAATTGGCTGGGCATAGTGGCATGTGCCTGTAATCCCAGCTACTCGTGAAGCTGATGCAGGAGAATCACCTCAACCCGGGAGGCGGAGGTTGCAGTGAGCCAAGATCCCGCCACTGCACTCCAGCTTGAGTGATACAGTGAGACTGCATCTCAAAAAAAAAAAAAAAAAGAAAGAAAGAACATTTAAATCAACTCTCCATTTAGACTACTTGAGCCTATAGGCTGTCTAGAGCATGTGTTCTGTTTTTCTGATGTTTCAATATGATGTAATGAGAAAGGGAATAACAAGTAGGGTACCGTAATGGAGTGAATAGGGATTAGATTTGAGAAAGGCAGAGTTGGACAAGGTAGGGAATTGTCAAATTAGAAGATGAACAGAATATTAAACATCTGTGTTAACGCAGCTATTGATCCGGCTCAGACTCAAATATTTGCTGTATTTCCTAGGTCAGGTTATCCAAAAAACATAGCAATATGGTTTTATTTATAGATGACTATCAAAAGTACTAGTAACATCCAGCAAAAACTATCATCCAAAGATGTCCATTTACTTTGCTACAACAGAACAAGACTTTAACCCAATTCAACTTAACAAATATTTATTTGCCCCTGCCATGTGGGGGCTCTATGGAAGTAGGGTAGTTGGGGACATAGGGACCCTTCTCAGATGAATAAGATCCACTGGTGATCTAAAGATGACTATAATCTCAGAGTTAGAAATAAAATAGAGCATACAGATTATTATCATTGAAGGTCTGTGGTGGTTAATTTTATGTGTCAATTTGACTGTTAAGAGATACCCAGATTACTGGTAAAACAAGATTTCTGGGTGTGTCTTTGGGGGTGTTTCCAGCAGAGATCAGCATTTCAATCAGTAGACTGAGTAAAGAAGATCCCCTTGCCAATGTGAGCAAGCATCATCCAATCTGGTGAGGTCCTGGATAGAACAAAAAGTCAGAAGAAGGGTGCATTTGCTCTCTCTTTTTGGAATGCCAATCCTCTCTCTTGCCAAAGGACATCAGAGCTCCAGATTCTCTGCCTTTGAACTCTAGGACTCACATCAGTGGCCTCCCAATTTCTCAGCCTTTTGCCTTGGACTGAGAGTAACACCATCAGCTTCACTGGTTCTCAGGCCTTCAAACTCAGACTGAATTAACCACCTGTTCTCCTGATCCTCCAGCTCAAAGACAGCATATCATGGGTCTTCTCAGCCTCTATAATTCCATGAGCCAATTCCCATAATAAATCCTCTCTTATGTATCTAAATATATTCTGTTGGTTCTGTTTCTCCAGTGAACCCTAATACAAGATCAGATAAAAGCCATAAAAAAGGACACAAACGAAATTCCAAGGAAGTCCTAAGCAAGGAGATATTATGTTAGTGGAAAATAATTAAGAAAAACTTAATTGAGAGAGGTGATATGCTTCTTAAACATAATTTTAATAGTTGGATATTGGGGGAGGCTGGCCGGATGTAAGAGTAAATCCAAAGGCACTAAAGCAGGAAATAAGAGTAGAATCGAAGAATGGTAGACCTTGACAGTTTTGAAGGATACATCCAAGATCTTTTAGAACCCTAAATGTTCCTATGTACCACTATATCATGAAATTTTTCTCATAAAATGCATACATGATGCTGAGTATATAGCTACCAAGCTACACATGCTATAAAGCATGGACCATCAGCTAGGCTAACTTAGCAACTAACTATGTGACTTGCTTTTTTAAAAATAATAAACACTAGAAATTGATTTCTCCCAGTTCTGGAAACTGGGAAGGTTGAGATCAGGGTGTTGGCAATGGTCAGGTTCTGGTGAGGGACTTTGGGGTTGCAGGCCGCTGATCTCTAATGGCGTCCTCATACGTTAGAGAGCAGAGCCCACTGGCTTGCCTCTTCATGTCCATGTCCTAGTGCGTAGGATTGAAATTTAGGTCTCAGCAAAATGATACATGACCAGCATTTATTCAGGAATGGTAAAAACCTTAAATGTTAAATCCATAAATATCTACTGCCCACAGCAGTTCCATTTGGCTGCAGTGCTCAGCATGAATCATCCCAGAGACGAATCCTGCTTATTTTAAAATGAATGAGAACATTCTATCATTTGTTGGAAATTTCTTAATATTTATTCTACTTTGATGAGTCACTTCTGCATGAACATACTCAGTGTTTTGTCTTCTCTCCTATCCCACCTCTTAGCTAAAACAAAGGGAAAATGGATTTGCAGATCAAGAACTGGAGAGACCCAGCCCTTCAGGAGGCTTTGTAGGCCCATGATAGCTCCCTGACCATAGGTCAAGAAATACTGTCTTTCTTTATTTTTTTTGAGACAGAGTCTCACTCTTGTTGTCCAGACTGGAGTGCAGTGGTGCAATCTTGGCTCACTGCAACCTCTACCTCCTGGGTTCAAGCGATTCTCATGCCTCAGCTTCCAGAGTAGCTGGGATTACAAGCGCCTGCCACCACACCTGGCTAATTTTTGTATTTTCAGTAGAGATGGGGTTTCACCATGTTGGCCAAGTTGGTCTCAAACTCCTGCCCTCAGGTGATTCACCTACCTGCCTCAGCCTCCCAAAGCACTGAGATTGCAGGCATGAGCCACCAGGCCCAGCCTGAAATACTGTTTTAAGTACAAACCTTAGAGATAAGCAAGACATTACCATACTGACTGGAAAAAAAACTCTAACATTGGTCACATCCCAGTTTCTCTCTGCTGCCTCTGGTAGTCTTTAAGCTGTAGAAAAGGAGATTGCAGAAAGAAACACATTTAAGATTGCATAAAACAAACAACAATGACAACAACAGCAAACCCCACAAAACCATGGTCTTCACCACTTGACTCACTGTTAGAAACAGTGGGCACTGGCCAGGCACAGTGGCTCATGCCTGTAATCCCCACACTTTGGGAGGCCGAGGTGGGCAGATCACTTGAGGTCAGGAGTTCAAGACCAGCCTGGCCAACATGATGAAACCCAATCTTTACTAAAAATACAAAAATTAGCTGAGTGTCATGACATGCACCTGTAATACCGGCTACTCAGATGGCTGAGGCAGGATAATCATTTAAACATGGGAGGCAGGGGTTGTACTGCACTCCAGCCTGAGCAATAGGGCGAGACTCCATCTCAAAAAAAAAAAAAAAAAAAAAAAAAAGTAGGCACTGAAAGAACAAGAAGCAA